CGGACGATAACACACAACCTCGACGAGTTGTCTAGTCGAATGCAGGCGCTGAATGTACAGACATAAAGCTCGGACGAGCGTGCGCTACACGCACCCCTCCTATCATACGACACGCGTAGGTGGTTGGTGCTTTAATAATACCCGTACACCGCGCACAAACTACACACAGTGACACGCACCCCAACACACATACACACTCTCACGATGCCCATGCACATGCCTCACACACACGCAAGCACACAGACACACACGCACACAGACACACAACACGCACACAACGGCACTCGCGCGCACGCACACACGCACTGCAACGCACACACAGTGTTATGCAGCCTCACCTGTTACCGCGAGGGCATTGTGTTTGCGCTTACATTTCAGGCTGCGAAAATTCTTACGCAGTATTTTAGATTTTTCTCTCTCAGGTAACCACCACACCCAATTTCCCCCTTGCTGGTTTCTGGGATGCAGGAAAAGCTCTAGTTCTAGATAGATAAACTCGCCCACGCACACGCGCAGCGCACGCATGCACGCACGGTACGCAGCACACACACAACGACTCGTCTCGCACACAACCGTTTCACACACCCACACACACTGCCCCCACTACACACACTCCCGTACATACAACACTCACTCCCTCACACACCGACTTCACACACACACACACACCACCACACACACACACACACACACACACACACACACACGCCACACACACACACACACACACACACACACACACACGACACACACACACACTCACACTCCCTCACACACTGCTTCTACGCATCGTACTCCCCCCACCCTCACCCACCACAACACATTTGCGCATTGCTGACGCTTTTCATCATCTGCTCGTTTTTTTTTCGACTCGCAGGTGTTTCAGTGCGAGGAAGACGGACACGCTAAGGACAACAGTGATAGAGACGATCGTATAGGCCGAGAGTGCACTAAGTAGCGTTGCTTACACACCGGGCCGCACGCGCGCGCGCTTGCCGTCCCTCGCTCCCCAATCTTTTTCCTCCCTTCTGCCGTACCCTCAACGCTCTTGCGTTCCTAACCTGAGCAGGTCTCTTGTCCCCCTCCTCCTCCCACCCCTCTCCTCCTGCTCCTCATCCTCCTTCTCCACCCTTCCTCGCTCCTCATCCTCCTTCTCCATCCCTCCTCCCTTCTCATCTCCTCGTCCTCCTCCCCTCTCACCTTCCATCTCTCACTTATTCCGACTCTCCACCTCTTCTCCTCCTCCCCTCCTCTCTCATCCTCTTTCTCCACCCCTCCATCCTCTCATTCTCCTCCTGATCCGCCCTCCTCCCTCACACCTCATCCTCCTCACCACCACTCCTTCTCCAGCACTTATCCACGCCTCTCTCGCTCCTCGTCCATCCCATCCTCTCCTCCTTCTCACTCCCCTCTCTCCTTCTCCACCCCCTCTCACCTCCCATTTCCTGCCCTCCTCTTCATCTGCCCACACGCTCCCTGCCTGTCCTAGTTAATTTCCTCGTTCTCTACATGTGCGCGCCACCATCTTTTCAACCGTCTTCACACCTTCTTCTCCTTCTTCTCCTCCTCATTCCTCCTTCTCCCACCCCTCCTCCTCATCCTCCACTGTCCCCTCCTCCTCTCCCTACATTCCTCCTCACCCCTCTCCTATCTCTGTACCTCCTCGCTCATCTTTTACCTCAGAATCCTCCTTCTCCACCCCTCCTCCTCATTCTCTTTTACTCATCTCTTCCACCCACCTCACTGCCCTCCACTCCCTCCCTTCCACCTCCCATTTTCACTCGGTCCCTTTTCATCTTGCACCCTGCCCTGCTTCCTCAGTTAATGTCCTCGCGTCTCCCTGGCAGCCCCCATCTTTCAGCGTATACGCTCTCGCACGCTGCGTGCGTGTAAAGCGCCAGCCAGCCACCTCTCCTCCTCATCCTCTTCTCCTACCTCCTTCATTATCGTCATGGCACATCTACCATCGTATCTTCATGCCACAGCAGAGTAGGTTAGCAGGCTGATGAGTTAGTTGAGTCAGCGGTTATCAGCTGACAGTGCAGTACCTATATATTACTAGGCAGTTTTGCAATTAGCTCTTGAATATACAGTCATGACAGACATGTGTATTATATATATATTAATATATACTATATTATACTTATATATATATATATAGTGGGGGGTAGGATATATATATATGATATATATATATGTAGGAGTAGAGAGATAGAGATAGAGACGTGTGTGTATATATGTATGTGTGTGTGCATAAACTGCATATACTGTATATATATATATATATCGGAGAGAGATAGATTATAGATATGATATAATAGATGACTATATACCAGCATCTGTTGGTACCTCCTGCCTCTTCCTGCATTCCTGGCAGCCACCACATGTGGGTGGACCACAAACCATCCTATTGCTGCTGCTATATAGCCTATAGCCTATATTAGCCCGGTGTACGCTCGCTGCTCATCACTCCTGCTCGCCTACCACAGCACTGTGGCGACGAATACAAACACGCCCCCACTGCGAGTTAAAAAACTGAAGAACATATAAGCGCAGAGTTCATCCCAAATCATACCTTCTCAATTACGCACCGTCCACTGTTTGTGTCCACTGTACGTATATCAACTTTGCTTTCACAGAAAAACTACATGCCAGAACGCTCCGCACTCGCCGCTTGCGAGTGTTGCTGTGTCCGCAGTTAGTCATCTAATGATATCAGGAGTAGATAATAGAGGAGGAGATCTTCTATTATCTACTCCTGATGATATACTATAATTATAGTATAATTATAGTATATCATTAAAATATAACGGCGACACAGACACACTCGCAGCGGCGAGTTGCGGGAGCGTTCCTGCATATAGTTCATTTTGTGGAAAGAAAGTTGTATACAGTATGACAACAGTGGGGGAAGTGGTAATTGGCCAGGGGTGTTAATCACAGGCACTTGGAGCGTTTCAATAAAATATAATGCTATATAAATACGAATCTGAATACTAGTATACAAAATTCTTATTGTTTCTATACTCTCTTTCACCTATTATTGCCGACAGTTTCTGTCAAATTTCCGTGTAAATGCTCTATCACACAACATTTACCGGCCGCATTGCAGAGCGGTGACCCCAGTGACAGCTTAAAATATTTACTAGTCATAGCTATATAGCTAAATATTTAACTGTCACTGTGCACCGTCGGCAATGGCGGTCGGGTAGTGTGTGTGCATAGAGCATTTACACGGAATTTACAGGAAACTGTCGGCAATAATAGGTGAAAGAGAGTATAGAAACATTAAGAATTTTGTAGTACTGGTATTAGATTTCGTATTTATTTAGCATTATATTTTATTGAAACGCTTCAAGTGCCTGTGGAGAGAGTCGTTGTTTGTGCGTGCTGCTCACGCGGGCGCACGCCAGTGTGTAGTGCTAGACACACGTGATAGGCCCGTGATCTCTCTTTCTTGCTTTCTTTCTTTCTCGCAGGTGCGTGCGTGCGTGCGTGCGTGCGTGCGTGCGTGCGTGCGTGCGTGCGTG